ACATATAATGCTGAACTTATGATGATGTAAAAGTTAATAACCAGCATTTGCATGAATTGCTATGAAATTCTTAAGATATTTATTTTTTTATTTTCATTTTTATTTAACTTTTAATTCACCAGGCAAAACATTAAGAACAGTTTCTTATTTACAATGTTGGCCAGAGAGTGCAAAAATACTTAAAACACTTAAAAATGGGAAGATGGGGAAGGGGAAACAACATAAACAGTACATAAAACATAAAATGAACAGTGCATTCATTCTTTAAAACAGTTACATGACTCCTTAAATAGATCCTTTAATCTGGGTTTAAAAGCAGGAATATTTTATTTTTGCACTCTCAGGCCAACATTGTAAATAAGAAACTGTTCTTAATGTGTTGCCTGTTGAAATAAAGGTTAAATAAATAAAAAGAATAGAAATCAAAGTCCCAAGTTGCAGTATATTTTGATAGAAGACATATGTTGTTTTTACAGTATATGACAGTATATCTTCGACCTGCTTGGTTTAGCCATTAGTTAATTAATCTACTTAAAATTTCTTCAAATTCATGTTGTTCATAGAGCTATCTRCAACAGGTAAGGAACTATCCCTTTTTTGGTATTTTGTGAAAACTAGCATGGGTGTGTTATGATGATTATCTTTAAGTCTGTGATTTTTGTTTGCAGTGTTTTGACATTTCACATTCAATTTCTTTAAATCCCTGTGTATGAGTCAGTGAACTGTGTGTGGGTGTTCTATATGAACTTACAAAAGACATCTTTGATCCTAATGAGACTTAAAAAAGATCTCGAATCGATCCTGTACTAATTCCACATATCTTTGTCTAGACACTTTTCACAATGTTTGTCTTTGTAAAGCCTTAAAGTATAATAATGTGAACAATTGGTTTGAGTGGAGCAAGCCTGAACAAAAGCTGAACTCAGATTCTGTGCTTCTCTTTTTAGATGGCCACAAGCACAAGACCTTCCTTAAGAAGAAGTTGGATTCGTTATCTAAAGAGAAGAGTAAAGATAAAGGTAATGTTACTTTTGATATATCACAATTGCAGGATTAAAACTGGAAGGTTTTAGGATCACAAGGAGGTAGATAGATTTTAGTCTTGTCAGTTTCTGTCACTTTAAAAGTTACTCAGGCTTTTGGCTAAACTTGTATACACCCAGTGAAGCAAACACTCTCAGCTGTTTATATCCGCCCAGCTCTCGGAGTGATCAGAATCTCACAGTAACAGAGGAAGCTGTGATCTTTAGCCACCATGCTGCCCCGCCCTCTGCAACAATGCAACAGGAAAGTGATGTTCTCCATCAGAAGGAGGCAGCCGAGGCAAAAAAACTAAAACAATTTTAAGTGGTGGCTCATTCATTGCAGCCTATCCTCTGGCATTCCCAGCCCACTCCCCCCTTTTTGTTTACAGAAGGCACTTTGGGAAGTTATGTGCTCTGAGTATTATGTCCTTGCAGCAGAGTACTGCTCTTTTAGAGGGAATAAAAAAAAGGATTTTGAGAGTGTTTGTGACTTAAAGTGGAGTGCGGTTTGTGAATTTGAAGTCTCTTGTTTGCTCTTTGCCTCTCCCACCTCACGCAGAGACCGCTCCGCAGGTGTTCGGCGCACCGCTGTCACATGTCATAGCCAACGACCGCTTACACAAACGGCATGACCAGCTGCGGGAGGAGCCCAGTAGCCCCACTGAATTGATGCAATCCTTCCTTCACCTGTCCTCTAGCTTGAAGAAGACTAACAGGGAGCTCTCCAGCAGCAGCTCGTCTCTGAGCTCCACCTCTGAGACCCTTAACGAATCTCCTCTGCCCAGCACAGCAGACACAGCCCCGTGGACGCAGAGGAGGGTGAGCCGTTCTGTCAATAAGCCTGAGCGGCAGGGATTCTGACTGATTACAACCACTGTGGCCTTCTTTGAGAGCTCGTGACATTTTTATTTATTTTTTAGCTGTTAACTCGGCCTTTGAATAAATCCAGCACATAAATTCTGTCACGGCACAAAGCCAGTCACTTTTATAAAGGTGTCACCTGTTTGATTGGCAGGGCGGTGTGTCTGTGGATTGCATCACTGACCTGGATGATAACCAGTCTCGGCTCTTGGAGGCCCTTCAGCTGTCGCTGCCGGACGAGACGGCCGGTAACCGAAAGAAAGCCCGCGACAAAAAGCTCAGCCTCAACCCGATTTACCGACAGGTGCCGAGGATAGTGGATCTCTGCTGCCAGCACCTGGAAAAATACGGTACACAAAAAAACAGAAAAAAAAGAACACTGAGTGCATTGCATAAATAGGCTCCTGCATGCCTGGCCATGAGCTCATAAATCAATAATTTCATTTGGATTTTTGTGCCTGATAAAAGCTACAACATCAGCACAACTGGAGCATGTTCTGTTTTTTGTTCAGGCTTGCAGACTGTTGGAATTTTCCGCATCGGGAGTTCCAAGAAAAGAGTACGACAGGTAAGGTTTCAGCTGCTGAATTAAGACAAAAATCAACTTTGTGCTTTGATAAATGCCTCGACTAAAATAAACAAAAGAAAAGATGCACAGCACTGATTGTGACAACGCTTTATCCAGCTTAGAGAGAAGTTCGATCAGGGCTGGGAGATGCACATTAATGAGGAGCAAAGTGTCCACGATGTTGCTGCTTTGTTGAAGAAATTCCTCCGAGACTTGCCTGACCCACTGTTGACAAGGGAACTCTACACAGCCTTCATCCACACAATGCGTAAGGAGCACACATACATACACACACACACCAAACAAAACAACAGTTTTTTGTTGCAACAGTGACAACATTTGTGCAATCTTTTGGGCTTCTTTAAACTGATACAAGCTGATGTTTTTCCTGTTTGTTTCTGCAGTTCTGGATTATTCAGAGCAGAAGAACGCCATCCAGCTCCTGGTGTTTCTGCTTCCTCACTGTAACAGCGACACGCTGCAGAGCCTCCTCTCTTTGTTGTCCACTGTGTCCAAACAGGCTGAGGACAGTGTGGACAGTGAGGGGCAGCAGGTAAACGGCCACTAAAAATGAGTCAAAGCAGCGGCAGTTTTGTCATCTTTAAATATGTGATCCTCATCAGTTCTTTATAGTACTTTAGAATAAACTATATAAGGATTGGCTGTTTGATAACTTATACCAGGGAGAAGCTCACATATATAAAGGTTTGAGCAGCCATCAGAGCCAACATAAACAGACTGTTTTACAGATTTTCTGTGATGAGTCTGCAGCCGTCAGAGGGCAGCAGGACAGATGTGTGTTAACATCTGCAGCCTTTAATTTGAAGAAAGTGCTGTGCCAAATTGCAGCTGCGTTATGCTTGATGATCYATTGTGATTATCTTTATTACATGATTGATGAACAGCCTCACCATGATACTGTACACAACAAACTAATTGCTTTGYGCTGTCTTAATTTGTTTTACCCTTTACTGTAAAGCAAGTAACCTCTTAATACGAGTGACATGAAGGCTGAACRTGTTGATATTTGTTTATKTGCATCTTGCCTCTCTGTACSTAACACCAAGTATTTTCCTTTAATATTTTTAAGTACCTTAGTAGAAGTAAGGGAGGGGAGTAAAAGAGACRCAGGAAGAGCTGGAGTGAGTAATTTGAGAGATTTGTGATYTTTAGCRTGTTAGAATTTTATAGTTCRAGYGARGTGTGTTTAGTTTAGTCAGTTTTAGTGTGTCAAAACAATGAGGCCATTATTTTAAAGGTGAAGCTGCAGCTTCTGAGGTGTGGGCTGACGTCAGAACCTTCTCAGACAGAAGAGGCAGAGATAGTCTGAGACAGAGTGAAGACTTTTATGAGGAAGTGGGAGATCCATTATTTGTTTTAGAAGAAGAAAGAGAGGAAGAGCTCATGGAGCACAACACTACTGCCTCTGAATACTCTTCCTTGATTGGTTCGATTTTTTGTGTGACCTAAATGGCATAAAAAACCCAAAACACATATAACCACCATATTCAACAACAGTGATTACCCCTTAAGAGCAGTTAGGACTACAATGCTGTGTGTTGGACTTGAAATTGTAAATAGTACAAGATGCTTTAAATTCTTTACTTTTTTTTTTTAGATATCAGGAAACAAGATGACATCTCGCAACCTAGCCACCATCTTTGGGCCCAACCTGTTACACAAGCAGAAGAACTCAGACAAAGAGTTTGCAGTCCAGAATTTTGCTCGGGCAGAACAAAGTACAGCCATTATCAGTGTTGTYCAAAGGATGATTGACAGCTATGATATGCTATTCATGGTGAGCTGCTTTCACTACAAACCAGAACGTGTCAAATTAACACAAAACACACAACTCATCAAATAAAGGGTGTTTTAAAAAAAAAACACACAACTCATCAAATAAAGGGTGTTTTAAAAAAAAAACTAAAATCAGCTGTAATTCTGCTGTTTGATAATTTCTCAACACGTTTCCCTTCATATTATGGATAAATATGTATTTGATGTTAGTTGTAAAGTTCTGATGTGGTTATTTGTGAATGCACAGTGAAAGAAACCAGAATGTTTCCCTTTTTTTAGGTTCCTGCAGACCTGCAGAATGAGGTGCTGATGAGTTTGCTTGAAACGGATCCGGATGTTGTGGATTATTTGTTAAGAAGGAGGGACTCTCAGTGCTCGTGAGTTCTCATCTTTTTTTCTTTTTGTGTGGATTTTTATGCCAGCCCACTGTCTCCAAAGGATCAAATAAAATAGACCCCGTGTTTTGTTCTATTCTCAGAAAATTGTGTTCTTAGATTATATTTACCCAAATTCTGATGCTCACAGCTGTAGTTCCTTTTAGGAAAACATCTTTTTKGTTGTTGTTGTCATCTCTGCAGGGAGTCAGACCTTCTCAGACCTGAGGATTCATTCTCTCTGACTGAGAGATCTCTGTCCAATGACTCTCTTAAAGCATCCAGTGGAGAGGTGTCCCCTTATGACAATAACTCCCCGGTGCTATCAGATCGACTGCTCTGTAAATACCCAGAGGACAGCAGTGTAATCTCGCACAGAGTTCCCCGACATCCCAGGCAGGATGAACTCAGAAGCCGTTCAGAAGGTGAACTGAGCAGCACTTCTCCAACACTCCCCACTGACAAAGGTAAACAATATTACTTTTTATTTTTGCAAAGTAGAATTTAGAGAAATAGAGTGACTCCCTCACAAACCAACTGGCCCATTCAAGGCAGTCTACAACACTCAGGAAGCTGTGAACCAAAACCACTGAAGGAAATGAACATTACCTCCTAATGTTAAAATATAGTGACAATATTTACAAGTGATTTGTTTTAAACATTATCTTATAAACTATAGAAACACATTTCTGCCACTGTGATGGAAAACAAAACACATGACATAATTATGAGACAATATCTTGTAATCAGGAGATGTCCCATAATTATCTCAACATTGTGAGGTAGCTAATTATCTTATAAAAACAATTAAAGTCTCTGACTTAGTGTTTCGTAATGAAAATCTATTTATATACGCCTCATACATACCTTTAAATAAAATACAAATAATCTAGAAATGATTTAACATCTAACGAAACATTCCCACATCTCACAATTTGGACTATTATTTGAAACAATTTACAAACTAAAATASTTCAGGGATTTTGAAGACAAAACACATAATAGTGCAAAAATATCAGATTTGCAGCATTGTTGTTGTCTCTGTTGTGTTTTTGACAATAGGAGCAACAGAGCTCAAGCAGTACAATGAAAATAACAACTCAGACTTGGAACAGTGCCAGAGTAAAAGAGAAACAGAAGCCAGCTTAAAAAGGGGGTCATGACTTTAGTTCGGTCATATTTTTTCCACTTATATAATCAAGTATTAAACCAAAGAATTTATAATCCTCTTAATTCTTSTGTTTTCTCTCAGAGGCCTCGGCTGATTGTTTCTGGGACACCTGGCATGAGCTGTTTGAGAAGGATTTTATTGGCTGTCACTTCACCGGTAACAGAATCCTCTTYCATACGTTTGCTCCAGATGGCCTTGGGTTATGAGATAAATGTAAAAATGCTAACGAACGGCTTTCTCACAGGCTCTCTCAGAGACGCATCAGAATGCGACTCGTACGGCTCATCAGAGGCGCTGAGCAGTCACCAAGGCAACAACAAGCTGCCCGTCAGACCAGCACAAACACCATTGGGTGTTTTGGAGTGCAGGCCACACCTCCTGGTGACTGACCGGAGAGAGCAGAGGCAGCAGGAATCATCGCTGCATCGTTCACCGAGCAGCCAATCAGGAGCCATTAGCTCAGACGCCTTCGCACAAAGGACAGGATGCCCCCAATGTCCATTACTTATGGACAGGACAGATAATTTGTCTCTGCCTCTGGGTTCCGGACCTTTAGTAGAAAGTTCTTTCTCTCACTCTGTGCTCTCCATTTTCAATCATCCGGCAGATTTCCACGCTCTACAACTGCCCCAGCAGAGCCCTGCCCTCCAGACTGCAGATGCAGCCGACGCCTCGAGGGCTGCAAAAGAACAAGGCACTGATAAAACCAACTACCAGAGAGAAAACTGGTGTGTATGGCAGGTGTTGTCAAGTGAAAACCCAGAAACGCTGCCAGAAAGTTTGGTCTGATGCTCCCTTCTCTGACAAACTGAACCATGCAYGTTTTACCAACATTGTCTCCACTAAAGAAAACCGAATCCTGTGTTAATCTAAAGCTGTTCTTATCTGAAGGATCATTTTGTATGTTACCAGATTGTATATTTTCTARAGTAATTTAATTCAGATCAAGTATTTGCAACTATCAGAAACTTGTATTTAGAYGTGAATGTCAGAAATACACTTGAATGTTTTTTCTAATAAACATAAATCTTTTTACTTTGGAACACAAGTTGAAACTTATCGTATTTTGAGATGTTTTTTTTTACACGTACCGTGATAGAAAAAACTTCAGTCCTTGTGACATTTTTTTGTTTTAGAAAGTTAAAACTGGAGTTTAAGTGTTGGAAAAAATGAGTCATTTCACCCAAAATGTTACATTTAAGCACYAATTCTTTTCTTATTTAGATAATGATTTGTGTTTTTACACAAAAGAATAATAATATGTTATTTATAGAGATGAATATGTTTATACAATTTGTAAATACAAAGTATTTAATGAAAATTTACTTGTTCTACTTAATAAACTGAGTTTGCCTCACTTTTTTTGTAATAAACTGACATCAGCTGTTTGCATTTTGTATATTTATCTAGTCTAAATATAGTGTCCTATCTCAAACAAGTGGACAGTCTGTTGAGTGACACTTGTTACTGATTCATGTTATATTTATTATTCTGAAAAGTCATTATCCCATTTTTAATAGCCTAAGTGATTCAAACTTTACTGAATGTAGATTACACAATATGTGCTTTTTTTATTGATTTTTGTTACACATGACAAAACTAAATAAATTATAGGCCTGTTATGATTCTTTCACTGTAACCTTAAACTGTAGTGACCTTAAACTGTTCAACTGTGCGGATCATAAAAGCTGCTATCATTTAGTCCTAGGTGTAATTTTTGTCGCTGAACAAACTACAGCAAAAAGGAAAACCTTTTCTTGTCCTTCAGGCTGAAAGAGATGAAAAATAACTAAAGCCCAGCATAAAAATGATTTAGTGAAAACCAAATAAATAAATGCGGCAGATGTTAGCTTTCAAAAAAAACTGCATGAATAAGACATTGCACAGTTTGTTGTTTGTGTAGATGGCTTGTGTGCGTGCGTGTGTGTGTGTGTGTGTGTGTGTGTGTGTG